CGACTAGCTCCTTCGAGAGAGTTTCTTTACAACTGAAACTAACCTCCTCAACACTCTGTTCTTCAAGAACTCAAACAGGATATACTCTTCCTTTACACTCCAGATTAAGACTTGTATTAATTGGATCCATGACAACAGTAACTATTTTGAGTCTGCCACTACGAAAAGAATTTGGTGCACCAATATTTCCATCCAGGAACACCACCTCACCCCATGTGCTTCCTATCCTTCTGAAAGTGTCTGAGCTCCAAAGGTTTGGGGGAACCCCAAAATAGCTGATCCAAACTTGCCTCTGTTGCTGTAGATACATACCAGGGCTCCACACTGTGATGTACTTGCACCAGTCATGGAACCATCCCGCAACCATAGACTTTTTACCCATGAAATCTTCTTTGGACAGGAATGAAAGAAAAACATCTCGACCACCTCCTTCTCTTACCAGCACGTTTAGTTCTTCTCTTTTAATGAGCTCATTTTTCACCTGCACAGATGTGTGATCTGGTTTAAGTCTCATGATCAAGCTCTCATAAAGCCAACCATTTCCTGACTCCTCTAGTCTGATTGTTGTCGTAGAAGCAGGTTTAGTTTGATCCCCTTTGATAACTTCTGCAAACGATCTTCCATCAGTGCGATGATTCCAGATAGAGCTTTTGGCCATACCAGATGAGTTTCTAACCATTGGTTGTCTGGTTGCTACATTTTTCCATCGCTGCCTTGCCTGTGTGTGTTTATCAAACGCTACAATGCGGACTGATAGAGATTTATCATCAACCCACAAACCATTAGCTTTTTGTTCTGCTACGCTAGCTGCAATGGAGCAGTCATAACGTACAAACCCAAATCTGGAATTTGTTGCTTTCCTTCTCTTATGTGGGATGAAGACATCTTTAACCACTCCAAATTTGCTGAACAGATCATAGAGATTCTTTGGTGCCAAAGATTCAGGCAAGTTGTCCACGAAGAGCGTAATCAAGCTCAATCTACGACCATCAACCCATGAATTAGGTTTTTTTTGTCTTCCTCTTTCCTTCACCACTGGGATCCAACCACCGAGACTCCCTTTGTTAGCCATTTTCTGCAGCCAAGACTTTGATGAAACTAATGATACTTGAATGCTACGTAAACACCATCGCATATGGACATATAAACGTTATCATCATCCAACACTCATCACCTTCTTCATTATAATCTAACATACTGCACTCATGATATTATTCATTATCAATTATTCATCTAGTTCTCTTCTTCATTATACTTCTATCCTCAACTCAAAATATTAAGATTTAAGGTTTAAAAATATTAAAATCAATCGGTTTGAAAAATTACACACCATGGATGGCACTTAGATTGTTACTCCAGAACAATCCATCAATGATAATAAAAGTTTACTACTTACAAAAGCAATTTTATTTTTTTGTTTTTCTCAGTCGTGAAATCACTAGAATGATGATTTTGTTTGCCATGCATTCAGATTAACCAAAGTTGAACAGTTATACAGTGTTCAAATATTTACACGCGGATAATACTATTTTGTTCAAATTATTATGGTTGACCAAATATTAAATGTTTACACATAAAAAACTGAACACGGTAAGTCCAAACAAGTTGAGTTATCTAATATAAAAAATATAAACTTGTTAATTTTGTTCAATAGAAATACTTCAAGCCTATTTAACTTGTTCAATTTTATTTTATTGTGCAATAATAAATGTTCACACAACCAGTGTCAAGCTAAATTCAAAATAAAAACAGCTATGAAAAATAAATCGCTGAGCAAATCAAAAACAGATAGAAAAAACTAACCTAGGTGATATTAAAAACTAAGAATAGTAAATCTTCGGTGGTTAGAGTCCAAGATCTTTAATGCTAGCAATCATTTCGTTCATGCATCATCACCACCCATGTATAGTTATGGTGAAAGTGAGGATGAACTGTGTATACAGTATGATGTATATGGTGGTGTGTATTGAGATCTTCATTTTTTTTTTCTCTCTTAGGATAAAAAAGGAAGATTGTTGTGTGTTTTGAGTACAATATCAAAAGTTAAAAATAACAAAGGTGGAACTAAGTAATGGTGTCTATTGAGACAATTTAACCTATCTATCTATCTTTTGAAATCAATATATCTCTCTATCTATTGAAATTCACAAAAATACTTATCTATTGAAAATAAGGCACATGTCACTCATTCAATAATTTATCTGTTGAAATGTGACATATGTCACTCATTTAACATCATATCTATTAAATATCACACATTTCTCTACTCACTACCACTACCTACCGCTGCCGACCACAGCCACTGTTGACTGGCTAATCAGTGGCGACTTTTACGATTAATTTTTTAACAACTTTTTTGACAACTTTTCCTGTTTATCCTTATCATCAAATAAGATTTTACCTTATATCTAATTCCTTGTATCTCGTTTGTAATAGATTTTTCACCAATTTTCTCTTATATTATTTATAATTAATTACACAGGCTTACAAACAGTTGATATCAAGTTATTTTCTCAAAGGACTGGCTTATTACAAGATTCGTTTTGATAATTCGAAATATTTATTTTTTTAAGTCAATCCAATAATTATAACTTAATCAAGCTATCATACTGGTCTCCAAATAAATGGACAACAAGTTTATTTCGAAAATAAATCATCTTCTTTTTTCTTTTTCTTTTTTTTGACAAATGCTGTAAATTAAACAAGTTACAATAATTTAATCGACCTTATGAATGATATATACAAAACATTCTATAAAATAAACATTTTAAATCATCAAAATATGGCTCGTCATTAGGGATGACCATTTTAATCCGATTCACGAGGGCCCGCCCACACCCGTCTGAATGGGGCATATTTTACCCACCCAGACACTTATGTGGGGTAGAGGTGGATTATGTTTTGATCACCCACAACCAGGGTGGGGTGGGGCGAGGTCAGGTATCGCGTCCCCCGATCCAAACCCGGCCTGATATAATTAATAATATATAAACAAATAATATATATATAATATAATTAGATATAAGAAAATAATATTAAAAGTCTATAATTTTGTTTAAATATAAATAAATAATAATTTTAAAAATCTCATTGTTTATATATATGAAAATAAAAAAAAATTATTTTGTGTGTTAAGAATTTAAATGGTTCTTAAGTTTTTTTGACTCTTTGAAATGTAGTCGGATATCCACGAGTATCGGGTATCAGTAGATATCTGCAGGGACAGGGGTAGGGTTAAAAAATTTCACCCGTAGCGAGGGTGGAGCGGGGGCGGGGATTGGCAAACTCACCCCAAACCCGCCCCGTGGCCATCTCTACTCATGATGAGCCCACAAGACCGAACAACAACATCCAATCCAGATCTGGACTGGAGGCAATTCAAAGTGGTTACAGGAATATATCCTGATAGGTTGGATTTATCTTAAGTTGGACATCTCAACTTAAGAGAGAGATTGGGCTTGATAGGCTCATTTTATGACTGATTTTGATTATCCGAACCGTTTAATTTGTAGGACTCGTTGAATAAAATATTCATGCAAAAAATTAATATGATCGGACATTAGTAGCTATATGTCTAAATCAATTTTTTATTATAAAAAAATAAATGACTATTATTGAAACTATATTTGTCATCTATTTTTATAAAACAAATATAATTCAAATATATAGTTACTGATATTCAATCTTTGTAATTTTTTGCATGAATATTCTACCCAACGAGTCCTAAAAAACGAACAGTTTGAATTACCGAAATCGGTCTCAAAATGAATTTACCAAATCTAAACGCTTTTTTAAATTGAGATGACAAATTTGAGATAAGTCAATCCCCATGAGAACAATGTGAGAGAGCAAAATTAAATAAATGTGCATCTATTGCTATTAAATTCACCTTTAAAATGTATATTTTAGAAGAAACGAGCATAGTTTCTTTTAAGTCTTTGTTTATTGATGTTTTGATATGCACTCTTTTGTACTCCTTTTTCACTAATAAATTTTTATTAAAATAAAATAAAATAAAGAAGAGAAATTTTATGATATACACTTTTTTACGGGTGCATATTATATGTATCTTATTATAAATTGGCATAACAAAAATTATCGTAACCAACCCACAAACTTTTGCAACATCAACATAAAATTTTAGATATTTTGTTATGTGAATTTGTGGTAATATGTATTTTGTGGTTGATATTACGAAATTTTATAGTAAAATGACACATTTTTTTTGGTGATGTGCATATTGTATGCACCCTTTTACCCTAAGATTTCTCTTTTGAAAAATTAAAAAAAAAATTATTAAGTTTAATAACTAAAAAAAAAATTCGTTGATAAATAAACAAATGTTTTAGGTTAAAAATAAATCAAAATTTAAAATTTAAATTTCTAAAATTTGCAACATCAACATAAAATTTTAGATATTTTGTTATGTGAATTTGTGGTAATATGTATTTTGTGGTTGATATTACGAAATTTTATAGTAAAATGACATTTTTTTTGGTGATGTACATATTGTATGCACCCTTTTACCCTAAGATTTCTCTTTTGAAAAATTAAAAAAAAAATTATTAAGTTTAATAACTAAAAAAAAAAATCGTTGATTTTACTTAACGAAATAAACAAATGTTTTAGGTTAAAAATAAATCAAAATTTAAAATTTAAATTTCTAAAATAAAAAAAATAGAATTTATTTTGTTATAAAGGTCAAATTTTAAAGTTTTTTTTTTTTTTTTGTAATTTCTCAAAAATAAATAAATAAATCCCCTTCTTGATGGAAATTAACTCATAGAAAACGGAGAGAGTAAAAACATTAACGTAGGACATTAATACATATTTACACCAAACAAGTAAAACTGTTTGTCTTTATCAACCTTCATTAATTTTTTTCCCTACGTTTAATTTAAATTTAACTGTATAAATTAACCCCTCGTAGACCCATTAACCCATCAGCTATTCCAACCAACATAGCAGAAACAATCTAAGCCAAGAAAATGAGTACATCAATGGCAATGAAGCTCGTATTATTCGCACTGTTGATGATAAAAAATGCCTCAGCCGATGAACAAACTCACACTGAAAAATCTCCGAGCTGGGTTTCAACCGTCGAGAGAATTCTCTATCAAGGTCAACTAAAATTCTTACTACGGCACGGACTACGAAGGCCGCGACACTGGCGACCATGGCTGACACCAGTTTCACCGGTACCAAGGACAAGGACAGGGAGAAATCCGGACGTTGTGGTAGCTCAGGACGGGTCTGGAAATTATGGTACTATTAAAGAGGCTCTCGATGCGTCACTTGATAGAAGAGATGATAGTAGGTTTGTAATTTATGTGAAGTGTGGGACTTACAATGAATACCTAGTTGTGACTGAGCATATGAAGAATGTAATGCTTTGTGGGGATGGGATTGGAAATACTATTATTACAGGTAGCCATAGCGCTCGAGCAGGGTACAAGACATGGAAAGCTGCTACTGTTGGTATTAATCTCTTTTCCCTCTCTTACTCTCACACAAAGCTCACACCAATTCACATTTTAATGACTTTTTTTTATGTTTAAAAGTAAGTAGGCCTTATCACAAACCCAAACCCCGCAGCCTGGCCCGTATCTGAGCCCAAAGCCTTGAGGTTGGGCCTAGCCCAGCCTTGGCTGAAGGATAGGGTCTACGACCTGGCCCGATGGGTTATTTGAATCCCGGTCCATGTACCTGTGATAGACTTTAAATTTTTGTATTGTATATATTTTTTTTCTTTAAATCTTGCATTTGATTAAAACCTTCAAAATAGGCATACAAGGGCCAAGTCCCAGAGCAAGGATCCTCTAGAGTTTTTTTTCTTAAAGTTTTCTAAAGTGATGCATTATGTGGTTGAGATTTAATGACAAGTCACATCAATTTTTCAGTATTAAATTTAACCATACAATACACTATTTAGGAAACTTTAAAAAAAAAATACTCTAGAGAATCCTTGGTGCAAGTCCCAACCAAAACCCATAAAATTATTAGGCATATATAGAAGGCCAAGTCTGGGTTTTGTAGTTACTGTTGTGCACAATGGTGAAGTCCCCAAGTTTAACTCTAATCCCATATAATTATCTTCCTAAACTAATAAATAGGGTTTCCCGTATAAGAATTTAAAATGAGTCAAACTCAAATTCAACTAATTCAATAGTCAAAATTTATATTAGTTGAATAGTCAAAATTTATGGGTCTTACTAGGCCTAAATATAAGCTTACAAAATTCTTATATATATAAAAGAAAATTTGTGATAACTACAATTTGAAATTGCAGAATATAATAGTGGTTTTTTTTTTTATTCTTTTTTTTTTTTTACACTAAAAAAATTTCAAAAAAAAATTAAATGTGATTGAAATTCATATGGGATGTCAAACCAAATTTGAATTTACACCATCTATTTCAATAACAAAAAATGTATGAATCACGAAAAAAAGGTTTCATGAAAACTGTCTTGAAATTGTGGGCTTGAAAAACTTAAGATTGACCAACTAGTCAATTGAAAAGGGAAAAGATAGGGATCATAAAAATGATCATGAAAAATTTATGATTATTAAATTACTTTGATTAGTGTGTGATACTTTATTTTAACTGTAATCCAAGGGTCACAAAATTTTCACGATTATTTTCATGAAAATTTTTTCATAATACCTACCATTGTTGAATTGAAAATGACTTCGGCCTAGTTTTCGTGAAAGTTTCCGATTGTCCATGACATTTTCGTGTTTCAATTTCTAGCGACTTTTCTGCATTTGTAGCTATACCAAATTTCTACGTTAACCTCCCAAATTTCTGGTTAAACTTGCAGTGGTTTGTGGCGATGGATTCGTTGCCCGAGACATCACATTCAGAAACACGGCTGGTCGCGAAGCCTACCAAGCACCAGCACTGGCATCAAACGCACAGCACTCCGCCTTCTACCGGTGCAGCTTCGAAGGATACCAAGACACCCTCTACGTCCAAAGCGGCCAACAATTCTACAGAGAATGCGAAATCTCTGGCACCGTCGACTTCATCTGCGGCAACGCCGCCGTAGTCATCCAAAACTCCAACATCTACGCCAAGCGATCACGCACCGGCAAAGAGATCGTCATCGCAGCCTCAAACAGGAACTCCCAGGACTCCCGAACCGGGATTGTAATCCACAATTGTCGAATCATGGCTGGATCGGATCTCAAACCGGTGATGCACTCGTACAAGATTTACTTGGGCCGGCCCTGGAGGCCTTATGCTAGAACGATTTACATTCAGGATGAGTTTGATGTGGCGGTGGATCCCAAGGGGTGGGTGGGTACCGATTCGAGTTCGGGTGTTGGGAGTGCTGATTTTAGAGAATATGGGAATAGGGGTTGGGGTGCTTCGACTAGGGGGAGAGTAAGGTGGTCTGGTTATCGAGGTACAGTGGACTCAAGTGAGGCCGAACAATTTAGTGTGGCAAATTTCATTCAAGGCGATTCGTGGCTTCCCGGTACAGGAATTCCTTTCACTTCTGGTCTTTAATGTTAAATTCAGAGTCTTATGTTAGATCAATATGGAATCGAGAAAAATGTGTTTCATGGAATGATTTCTTAGAAATAGAAAGGTAGTAAGGAATAAAGGATCTTTTTCATTGTTTTGACATAAATTTCGTTTTTGGGAATTCTATTTTTAGAATTTGATGATTACTTTTGAAATAAAATTGGGTAGCTTTTATTTTCTCAAAGTTAATAATGCAAATTATTTTGACACTTCATGGTATTAGAGTTTGATTTTTCAGATCATGAGATATTTCTTCACTAGTTAATATTTGGCATGTTGATTTTGAGATTGTGCATCAGAAGCCAAACACATTCACTTTGTACAAATTATGAATGATATAATTGCAACCAATTTACTCTTTGTAGATCCAAAGAGACTACAAAAACATGATCTATTAACCTTCACGTTGTGAAGAGTGAGGACAAATAAATAAATCTCATCCAGCCGAGATTAAACTTGGCACAATTTTATAATGAACCACTAGTTCAATGATTAAAACTCAAGTTATTAACAAATTACCATATGAATTCTAACATAGGAATTACTTTGTCTGTATTATATCAACTGTTATGACTTTTGGACCAATCTAACCCTTCCAAACTCTCATCCAATAGTTAAAAGATATGACTTTGAAGGCAGCTCTTAGCGCAACAGTACCGGTAAAATTGTTTCAATGTCAAAATGTTATATTTTAGTAATGTTGTTATAATGATTTTTTTTTTTTCTCACAAAAATATTATATATGAGTCTCATTATGAGAGATGTAAAAATAAAAATATATTGTTTAATTTTTAGATCTAGATAAACATTATACTGAATTTACTCGAAATCTCAAAATGGAACTTCATATCATTTTTTAAAATTATAACCCTTTTAAAGTGAGTTTGTGAGGTCTACACACCTCTTATGCGTTTGAATGTAAAAAAGGATATGATTGTAGCACTGGGGAAAAGTAATACATCCAAACACTATGGTGCCGTTTGGTAACACTTACGATTTTAGTTTTCTGTTTATATTTATAAAAATTTCAAAAACTTAAATAAAAATTTGTTTGGTAAATTTTTTATTTATAAATTAGTGGTCTCAGTTTATAAATTTGCCATCCAAACACTATGGTGCCGTTTGGTAACACTTACGATTTTAGTTTTCTGTTTATATTTATAAAAATTTCAAAAACTTAAATAAAAATTTGTTTGGTAAATTTTTTATTTATAAATTAGTGGTCTCAGTTTATAAATTTGCCAACCAAACACTATGGTGCCGTTTGGTAACACTTACGATTTTAGTTTTCTGTTTATATTTATAAAAATTTCAAAAACTTAAATAAAAATTTGTTTGGTAAATTTTTTATTTATAAATTAGTGGTCTCAGTTTATAAATTTGCCAACCAAACACTATGGTGCCGTTTGGTAACACTTACGATTTTAGTTTTCTGTTTATATTTATAAAAATTTCAAAAACTTAAATAAAAATTTGTTTGGTAAATTTTTTATTTATAAATTAGTGGTCTCAGTTTATAAATTTGCCAACCAAACACTATGGTGCCGTTTGGTAACACTTACGATTTTAGTTTTCTGTTTATATTTATAAAAATTTCAAAAACTTAAATAAAAATTTGTTTGGTAAATTTTTTATTTATAAATTAGTGGTCTCAGTTTATAAATTTGCCAACCAAACACTATGGTGCCGTTTGGTAACACTTACGATTTTAGTTTTCTGTTTATATTTATAAAAATTTCAAAAACTTAAATAAAAATTTGTTTGGTAAATTTTTTATTTATAAATTAGTGGTCTCAGTTTATAAATTTGCCAACCAAACACTATGGTGCCGTTTGGTAACACTTACGATTTTAGTTTTCTGTTTATATTTATAAAAATTTCAAAAACTCACCACCACCCACCCGCCACCATCCACCATCACCACTTTCCACCACCGTCTTCCACTGCCACTTGCCACCACTTGTCATTTCTCACTCTTTTTATATTTTTGAAATTTTTTAAACATTTTGTCAATTACCAAACGCGTTTGTAGTTTATATTTTTCTAAAAATAAACAAAAATCAGTTTATAAAATTTTTATAAATATAAGCTAAAAATGTAAACATTACCAAACAGACCCTATGTATTGGACTCTTGGATGGATATTTACCATACCAAAGAAAAGTAGCTTTCCAAATTTACATCAAAAACCCACGGCAATTTTGGGGCCTTGAAATGTCAAACAATCCAATCCCATGTACAAGCCCAGTCTGGCCCATTCAAATGTTGGCTCAATCAGATTAGGATAGGGGACCTCAAGATTTTGTTGGAGTTTGACCAGTTGAGTACTAGTCCCAAGTCTCTGTAGTTTGAATGAATTAGGTAAGGAGCTAAGGTCCAAAATGGACTCGCACTTTTGGTTTTTAGTCCCTTTATTATTATTTTCTTTTTTCTTTTTCTTTTTTTTGGATATGTTAGGTATTTTGAGTCAGTTTATAAGTAGCGGACTAAATTCTTATAATCCAAACAAACCTTTTGAAACAAAATTTATACTTTGCAGTTTGTGGCTCTAAAAGTTTTTTGGTCCCTTTGTTCTACATATCAATAGGAACCAACTATTTTAGATTGCAATATAAAAAATAATATTTTTTTCATTTTTTTTAAATAAAAAAGAATTGATGGCATTTGTCCGACATTTCATATGGGTATAAGCAACGATGACTAGATGTGGCTTTTTTTTTTTCCCTTGGCACCCCTATTTTTTTACCACAAAAAATGTAATAAATCAAAAGAAACATAACAAAAATGGTAAAAAAAAGTCGAAACATGATCGTAGCCCAAACTTTTTTTGCTTGGGCATTCCTTGCATTGCCAATCTAGTTGGGATCATGCGGTTATACTTTGATACTTTTTGCACTTTCTCTTCCTTTATTTCATGTAATTCCTATGTATGTATGGCAATTATCATCAATAAATGGTTGTTTTTTTGCTGTTCAAGAAAAGAATAAATCGCATGTCTTCTAGTGTTCAAATTCAGTAATTTACTATGCTTTTTCACTATAGCGTGATTTCATTATGACGTAACATATGTGAGAAAATTTCACAAAATTTTTAATGAATCATAATCCTAATCATATCATTGTTCCACTCTTTTACCCTTTATTTGTTATAACCTCTTATTCATATTATTATAGCTATAATTGTTACTATAATTTTGAAGGGGACATATAAACCAAACTGCAATGATAATTTCTACTGTTTTATAATTATTTGTTTCTAGGTGTGTGTTTCCTTTTCTCAAAAAAGTGAAAAATATCCACAAACACTATCAACACATTGGTTTAATGTTATCAATCTCTAGCCTAATGCAATATTCCTAGATCGATGACATACGTGTGTGCATAAAAGAGGTCAATAATTTACTTTGTTGGCAAGCTTGTTTCGGATCAACTACCCGAGACAACTGCATCCATTTGGGAAAAGGCGTGTTTAATTGCAACATCTTTTTCATCACAAAGTTGAGATGTATTAGCAATGATCATGTGATAAGTTTTGCTCTCGATTTCTTGAGGTGTCTATGCTCATTCAGTCAAACATATGTATATAGATATAGAGTTAATGAGTCCAAACATAAGTTAAACTGAGGCATCCAAATATTCCTTATCAGAAATTTATTTATTTATTTTATTAAAAAAAAAAAAAAAACATTTGTTTGAACTTCTAATATTATGACTAAGGAAAACAATTCAAGAGACTTTGAAAAAATATATGAACCAACTCTACAAATATTACAATTTTAACAATCATTTTCTATGACACTCCAAAAATTAGTCCCTTAAAGGTTACTTTCTGTGATGAGTAATTAAGCCGTCACCAAAAACATAAAACCATGAGAATTGGCAAACTAAATTATGACTCTTGGTTCAAATTATTCACGCGTGGGAAATTTAGTTTGACAATTGGTGAGAAAAACTCTAAATTCACCATGAAAACATTTCATAGCGGTGATTTGGCAATGAAAATGTCTTTATCATCAGATTTGGTGACAAATTTTGACCAGAGTTTGCGACATAATTTGTATATAATTATCAACTAAACCAAATGAGAGGAATTCATTTTATTTTTTCCCCCTCTAAATTCTGGCACAGAACATATTTAGAAACTTTTGATGAGGCCATATTTTAACATTTACCATTAAAAATGTCATCTAAATCATATCAAAACTTTTAATGAAACTTAATTCTAACTCAAGAAGACCATAAACATCTCTGAATATGTCAAGAAACACACACACACAAACAAAAAATTTAGTTTTAATTTTTAATTGGTACAAGAAAAACATAATGAATGGGGCATGGTTCCGATTTCTGGTGATTACATTCATGTATGAAATTCAAGGCTTATGATTAAAGTTAAGATAAAAGCAATAACTTTAGTTGGGGGGAGGGGCTAGAACTATTGAACTAAAGTGTGCTGCTGGTACAATCCTATCAACATAAGGATCACATGCAAAATTTGGTTTTAGGGTTTCCATTGACATATTTGGGTCCCTCTCATGAACATATATGTATATATTGTTTTACCTTTATTTTTTACCTTTCATGAGCAAATGAAGTGTACCACTTCACAATGGGTACATGCACTTATTGACTCCTTTCTTGGCATAACATAATTGAACCAAATTTGCTATTACGAGGTTAGCCATTTTAGATCCCTAAAAAAAGGTTAGCCATTCAGTCCAAACAACAGACGTATTACCAAATTGGCATCGTAATTTTTGCAAAGTTGAATAATCAGGGTGTAATGGCAGTGCAGCCCTAGTCTAGGCCAGTCCATCCTTGGCATGTTTTATATGAATCATTTTTGAGTAAATTATAAATACACCTCCTAAGATTTATTTAAAATACAAATTGTTTCTTATGATTTGAAAAATTATAAATATTCCCTAGTCAAAAAAATTTATTTAACAGAATTAATTGAAAAATGAAATTCATAACTGCTAAATACAATAATAAAATTACCTGAATGATTAATCGAAATAAATATATGACATCATTAAAAACAGTTAATTGACTTGATGATTTATTAATAAAATAATTTCTAAAATTACAGGGTGTGTATTTGTAATTTACTCATTATTTTTTAGGGATTGGACATGATGAAAATATGGCTAAGATTATTGGAATAAGCTGGAGTCATTAGCGGCATTGGGAGAAGTGTTGGGAATGTAGAGAAATGTATGGGTGGTTGGCAACGATGGAAGGAAGGGACTGGCAATGTCAAGCGGGAGGTGGAAGAGATACTACCAGTGTTGAGGAGAGTAGAGTGAGGGTACTTTGGATATCTTGCATTTCTTAATCACTATTTTGTAATTATTTTATAACTTTCCATGTCTAATGCAATTAATTTTGATTTCCCACTCTTTGTAATTATTTTTGTCTTCCTAATTATTTGCAATTTGCCCAAAATTATATCATGGAATAAAAGATTGGATATGAAGAGATTACTGTGTCATTTGGGTGGAATAAAAGATGTGACAATAACATATAATTATTTTTATATGAAAAAGAGAAAAACAATCCCAAGAGAGATAAAGATTGGATAAAAACATATAATTATTTTCTCTATGAAATAAGAGAAAAAATTACTATAGAGAAAATCACTTTAGAAGATCCATGCTCCCAATTCATAACAATATAAAACTCTTGAGAAACCCACCCCCAAGATGGCCCAGTGGTAAGGGCGTACACGTGACTGTGTGGGTAAGGCGCACGGTCACGGGTTCGATTCCCTCTGAGATTAAACTTGGGATTTAAGCGGGAGTCACGACGGTGGGTTGCTGTGATTGCTCTCCCGAGAATTAGTCGAAGGGTCAAAAACCAGAGCCCGAATACCTCGGTCATCAAAAATAAATAAATAAATAAATAAAACTCTTGAGAATGTAATGATGTGAGCATTAGTTTGGGCTTCAGTTGATTTTCAGGTTTTTCAATTCTTTTCACCAATTTTTTTTTCTCTTCTTTTGTAAATCTTTACTCAAATTTATAATTTAAATATACCCTTACAAATGAGGCTTTTAGATAAATTATACTAAATATTTGGTTTAAATTAGGAATAACTAATAGTGCCCACTACAAGAAATAATACCTTTGCCAACCAAAAAATTGTTTGCTAAAAGCTCATTTTTAGTCAGCAAAAGTTATCCACGATCAATTTTTTTGGTCGCTACTTTGGTCGCCAATTGAGGGTCGGCAAAAGTAATTTGCGACCAAAATTTTGGTTGGTCGGGAAAAGTTGGATTTGCCGACTAAATTTTTAGTCGCTAAATATGTAATTACTGCGACTAATCCATTTTGTCGCTAAAACACTTTGGTTGCGAAAAGTGATATTTTCTCGACCAAATATCTTAGTCGCGAATTGTCACATTCCACAACCAAAAAATTTGGTCGCCAATTATCGCATTCAACGACCAAAAAGTTTGGTCGCCAATTGTGACATTCCACGACCAAAAATATTTGGTAGCCAATTGTGACATTCTACGACCAAAAATTGTGGTCGCCAATTGTCACGTTCCACGACCAAACATGTTTGTCGCCAAAAGAAATGTTTGCGCAACTAAAACTTTAGTCGACAATAGGCCTATTCGCAACCAAATCCTTTGGTTGCCAAAATTAATAATTTTAACGACTAATTATTTAGTCGTCAAATGTGCTTGGTGATACACCAACTACTTTATTTAGTCGGCAAAAGTATAGCTTATATTTCCCGACTAATCAATTGGTCGCCAAAACTAAAAAAACAAAACCAAAATTTGGTAGCCAACATCCAACAAAATAAACATGTAATTTATAATAATCCATCCAATTTATTCAACATAATCTGTAATTTGCAAAAGTCATTCAATCTAACAAATAAATTAAATCATGAACATTCAACAAAATACATATATCAATCATTTCTGAACCTGTTTAATTAAAGTCAGCAACTATTATAAGTTTTCATCCACAAGTAATTCCAAACTACATATTTCATCTAGCATAAAAATTTAAAACATAACAAGTACTATTATTATGTTTTAAATTTTTATCCATGTGCATCAACCCAAAAATATAACTAGTAGCCTACCAAATATTTTCCATACACACCCGTTCAAAAATATAACTACTAGTGTATCCAAAAATATAACTACTAGTCTACCCTAATATTTTCCATATACATCTATACAAAAATATATAATCCTTCCAAAAATACAAAAAATGCCAATTTGTCCTATATAATTTGGCTTTATGCACGAGTTCATCCATCTGTATGAAAGAAAAAGATAAATAATGTTAGGTAAAATTGGACAAATAATGAAAAATGTTCATGAAAAGTTAAGGTCACATTAGCAAATTAAATTACTATCATTATCAAATTGTAAATAAAACAACAGAATTCTTATGTCTATAACATTACCACTTTTGTATTTCATTGTTTAATTTTTTAAATGGACTTAAATGTAATCCAAAGAAGAACAAGTCAAAAATAATTAAATAAAATAACAGTTCACAATAATATGCAATGGACTTCTCAACTAGCAAATATAAACTGTACATATTGGCATACGCGAGTGTCTAACCATACTGAAGGGGAAAATTGAAGCGGAATTCAAACGGCAGGTGTTTGCATTTTTTATCACATTGTTTAGAGGCAGTTACATCTAGCTAATTAATACTTAATAGAAATCAGAGATCAGGTTCCCCTCCTAATTCTGAAGACTTGGGGCCAACACTAAACAGTGTCTTTTCATTAATAATTTTGTTTGGGTAAGGAATTCATTTTTGTTAACTTAAACAATATGATAAAATGTTTGTTGTGGATCACCAAGTGGAACCTCAATTAAAAATTCATCGCATCAGTTTATGTTCTTTTTGAATTTAGTCTTAAAAAGTATTGCAGAATTTGATAGCCCACTGTTTAGGTATGTTGGTGCACCTGCCTAAGCTACCACATTGTCCTTATTCATTTACTGGGTTACCTAAAAGCATATTGTATTTGAGATTTATGTATCTCCTTTAACTAGCCCACTAAAATTGTACAAAGATCATTGTAAACCCTATACTACCCCACGTGCTATATTTTAGTTTTGTAATGGTATGGAACAAAGACTGAAAATTATTCCAACAAGTAAAAAAAAAAATTCACCGTTGCTTTGAAATTAGATAAAGAGGTATGGAAAGATAAGTGGTGTTCAATTTTTGACCCCAAACGGCCTATTTTCGCCTTTTTTCATCACATTTTTTTGTCTAAATATCTAACCCTGCGTCCAAGTATGCTTCCAAATGTCATCAAAAATCAATTTGGAAAGAAAATAAAAAAGGAAAACATTAATATATTATCAATTACCAATTTAGCAAAAATGCATTTTCTACCGAAATTTGACTTTCGTCTGTACTAAATCACAAAACAACAGCTAATCTAATTGGGGGCAAGCTCTTGCAAGTTATATGAACAACTATGAACCTGCTAATATTAAAAACAATTAAGCAACATGATGAGTTTTATTGTCATATAGAATGGTTCAATGAAACTTGGATCTTTGTTCTACTAACTCCAGTTATCTCCACAAATTTCACTATCTACCAGTGGATGTCCCTTTGTTACAACTTTACTATCTCACTCACTATTTCTCCAACTTTGCTTAGAAAGAAATGAGAATACTGATATGGGCTGATTGTCTTTAATGGGTTTTCAATTTCACAAAATTTGAACTAAGATAGATCAACATAAACAATATAAAACTAAGCATGGTGTAAGTCTCACATAACACTTGGTGTAAGTCTCACTAACTCCAATTATCTCCACAAAATTTGAACATTCACATTGGTGTAAGTCTCACATAACACTTATATGTTTATTTTTATTTTTTTTGTACATCAGAAATAAACATAACACTTATATGTATGTGTGAGGTCTGCACCCATGTTACATGTGAATGTTTTGTATATTCTTCTCCTATGGATATAGAACTAAAGCGCAAAAATGCACGGATCGTGGTAAAGGGAAAAAAATCACTATTGATTTTGACATCTAAAAATAATATTGCCCACTTTGCAATAGAGAAGATATATGGTTTGTCAATAAAGTTACAAGCAGAAGCACCAGCACCTCAAACTTTACAGTGTTCAAATTTACACGAATGAAAGCTCTCCAGGAGGAACAGATCTCTTCACAAGTTTAGCCCAAGATTCATTGGTCTCGGTGATTACCTTAAGAGCATAATCCTTTTTATTCCAAAATAATTAATTTCACTAATTAAACAACAGAACAATATCATATAGAGTTCAAAACATAATGTTTTCAATTTTACAAAATTTGAACTAAGATAGATCAATATAAACAATATAAAACTAAGCATGGTGTAAGTCTCACATAACACTTGGTGTAAGTCTCACTAACTCCAGTTATCTCCACAAAATTTGAACATTCACATTGGTGTAAGTCTCACATAACACTTATATGTTTATTTTTATTTTTTTTGTACATCAGAAATAAACATAACACTTATATGTATGTGTGAGGTCTGCACCCATGTTACATGTGAATGTTCTGTATATTCTTCTCCTATGGATGTAGAACTGAAGCGCAAAAATGCACGAATCGTGGTAAGGGAAAAAAAATCACTTTTGATTTTGACGTCTAAAAATAATATTGCCCACTTTGCAATAGAGAAGATATATGGTTTGTCAATAAAGTTACAAGTAGAAGCATCAGCACCTCAAACTTTACAGTGTTCAAATTTACACGAGCGAAAGCTCTCCAGGAGGAACAGATCTCTTCACAAGTTTAGCCCAAGATTCATTAGTCTCGGTGATTACCTTAAGAGCATAATCCTTTTTATTCCAAAACAATTAATTTCACTAATTAAACAACAGAACAATATCATATAGAATTCAAAACATAATCTATAAATAAATTAAATTTTTTTTAACGACAATAAAATAACAACAATATGGAAATTCCATTCTTAAAGAACGACATAATCAACTCTTGTTCTTGGATTCAGTCATTTCCAGTGGTTTGACAAGTACTTAAAATTCATGAGCAAAATGAATATGTTCAATGCACATAAATTTCTATGTGTTATGTACTTATGCTGCATGACATACAATTTCCTAATCAAACACCATTCAAGATGGTCAGAACTGCATTTAAACAATGTAGATTGATTGAAGCATAGAAATCATAATACCTTGTTTGCTGCCTTGTTGCCAAGACCAAATTTTTTTGCAGGTTTTCTATCAGGGATCTTGTAGTCTCTGAACCAGTCTCTGACTGCAGTGAGAGTGCCCTGGAGAAGTTACCCAGTCAGGCCCATGACAATTATGCACAACAATTAATTTACATAGCTGCCAAATTAATTTTTAAGCAACCTATGTCAACTTATATTTCTATTAACCAGGGACTACCATAGTTTGCTAATAAATAGAACACCTTAGCCCTGATTACTGACATTGCAATGTAATCAGAATGATGTACATATGCACCGCTGATTACTAACATTGAAATCCAAATCACACCTTCATTCACATTGCTTGAATTTAATGGCTTTGAGTAACCAACACCGTAAAATATTGACTTTCACACCAATCATTGGTCATGCCCTTATTAAGATAATTAAAAATAAATAAATAAAAAGGAAGAAGAAAAGGATGAAAAATGTTGTATAGCTCAAATGTACTTAAGACATAGATATTGTATATAATAAAACCAGTACATTGCTAGTGCTTCCAAGACTACATTTGTCTTACAAAATTCCATACCTTCTAGTGGTCTGCACATTATCACATTGCCATTATTAAAATTAACAACTAAAACATTTTGTGCAATGAGTAAGTTCGACCAACCCAACGAATGCTCATCCTAACTAATTGGTGTAGGCTTATTATTATACAAGGAGATGTTAACCAGTTATAAATCCATCCCCCGAAGGAACCAGACAAACAAAGACTATGAGAGCAGATGATATGTCACAGATGTTACAAAAGTCTAAGCATGTATATCTACAATGAACTCTCTTTTTTTTACTAGTATTTAGAAGAAACTAAAATAAATTATTGCTTTGTTCAACAAAAACATTACAGGCAAATGCTTTTCCACGTCATCAATATCATTAACAAGTGAAGCTCTTGGATCATCCAATGAAATTGCAACTATTTTCCACTCAAGTTCCCCTTCATCAAGCATTGCCAAGGCAGCTAATGGCTTGACCTTCATAATCTGTCCTATCTTTCCACGAGTTTGACCAATCTCAACAACATCAACTACAATTTGAAGAAATTGGCAAATTAAATTCAATTATTTTATTCTTTTGCTTTTGGTAGAAGAGAATGCTTAGTAAAGAGGTAAAATGAAATGAATGATCAACTAGTACCTGGATCGTTATCTCCAAGTGCCCCCTCAACTTCAGAGTTTGCAAATGATGGGTCTTCCCACATTTGTGGAAACAATCCATAATTCCAATTTATATTGTAACTGAGAAAGATAAAATAAAATGATTCAGGAGCTTAGACTTTAAGAAACTCAAATTCCAATATAGAAATTATGGAGAAGTCATGTAAAAAGAGAATCCAGGGTTTTGTGATTAGATCAACAGTGGCAAGAAGTACCAGAGATTTGGCAAACATCAATTTTTTAAAAGAAATAAAAGGATAAACAAGTTGGCTTAAAAGTTCTCATATTAAAGTTTTAAACGATAAAATGAAAATAAATTCACTCTATAAGAGCATGCAAATGACATGAAGGTCACTAAAGCTAGTTCATTTTTTGACACTGATTATATATCTCAGGTTTTCAAGGAAATATTCCCTAGGACCAGCCTTACATAGCCTATGTATTTGACCTCCTCTCCAAAATCGAAGTTGATTATTAGGATTTAGAGCAATTACCCAACTGCTAAAAATAGTCTCAATGGAATAAAACTAGCATAATGTTTAAACCCAGCAGATTTCAGTATCTGATATCCACCATTTCCACCTTCTTGATCCATTCACATTAAGAAATATTTTTTTACGCCAAAATCGGATTACAATTAAAGGACCATGTACGAACAACATTACTCAACATATGTGAAGCCTATAGGCTAGGGTGCTTGCCATTTGATAGAAATGCCACAAATCACCCTCAGAGAAGCAAACATCACTAGGTAAAGTTTGACAGAAATAGCATGAGGGCACTAGGATTATCAATATGGATGAATTCTATACTCCAAATTCTCATATGAGACCAATAATACTCAACTCCCAACAAATGAAAACGTATTTAGATGCTTAGTTGGACATGCATCAGCGAAAAAATTGAGCAGTCTGTCTGATAGCTTAAACAGATGCTTATACATGAAAACGAACAACAGTGCCTGATTCAAGCCCTTATAGAACAACAAAACTATGCATGAAGAAGTTATGAAACAAGAAAAGAAGGGGAAAGGAAAAGTGAAGGTAAAATGGCACATCTTACGGATAATATTGAAGTTTTCCTTTCTTTGTATATTGCTTTATGGGAGTGTATGACTCGTCAGTAGCAACCTCCATCTTTGCACTTGTTTCTTTGGGTATTTTAACAATGAAATTAAAAACACCATCACCCAAGTGTAATGGTATATCATGCCAGGGAGAAACCTGCAAAGTAAGCAAGCACTTGCAAGTAAATATATGCCTTACTAACAAATAAATATTTGAAAATGTAAGAAAAAACCCATATTAACAAAAAATTGACACAAATTAACAATTGCACACCAAACTAGGATTACATTTCTAATCTCAATTTAATTGGAAGATGAAGAAAGTATAGGCATACCATGGCACATAGACCTCGGAAGGCATCCTCCTCAATATCATCACGTATCCTGCCACAATTTGCTAATGACATAAGGCTGCAAGTAGACTGATAGTGATATAGAAACGCTTACACTTGGCAAGGCTATGTCTGGCCAACAAATTTTAATGCACAGGGTACATCCACAGCACATGCAATACAACAAGCTTCTCCATAATGACAGTCTATGAAGATAAAATTATGAACACATTGACAGATTTACCATAATCTAGGGACAATAGGTTTGTCTTTTCCTGACACAATGAATGAGGATGTAAAAAACAATTAAATGACAATGTGCAACAATATATAAATGACCATCAGAAATCAGAATTTATTTGCATCATTTCATTTTCATGGAGCATCATTTAGCAAAAACTAAAAACATATTGCACACACACAGAGAGAGAGAGAGAGAGAGAGAATTAGAGAAGGGGGAATACCAAACTCTCTATCCCACTACCAAGACCTTCAGCAAGTCCAAAGAGCACACAATGAATTCTTTATCTTATCATACTGAACCCCAACTGAAATAAGACCGACCTGCAGCCACAGTGTCAATCAATACGTAAATGATGCTCACAGTATAAGAATTCAAATTTCAGGGGGAAAAAATGTGTTTGTGAACCAAGATAAGGAATGCAACCAGCAAAGCAAACTGCAGAATTCATGCTCACATATTGAACAAAGAAGCTTGGAGTCTAGGCTTGAGGTTCATGTATTTGACATAATACAAGTTTGGCAAAGCTCTAAACAAA